ACATCTTTGCTGCCTGAAGATTGTTTGCATAAGAAATACACCAAGAACATGTTTGTGAGTAGAAATGAACATGCACTATGAAACTCAAAAAACAAAACAAAACAAAAAACCCAAAACAAAACAAAACAAAAAACACATCCATGTGTTGTAAGGACAAAACATTAAGAGCCAGCATTCTAGAGTCAAATCAGGGCTACAAGTTTAATGATGGTTTTTAGCAACATGAAGTAATTTTTTATGAAGTCCTTTTTTTTTTTTTTTTTTTTCCTTTTCCTGCTGGTGAATTTTCTATACGCTAAATTTACAATGGCATTTTGAGATGTTTCCTTTTCTCCTGTTCTCCTACACTGAGCTCAGAGGTCAAAATGATAGGAATGAAAAACTGTGTAGCTGTTACAGTGTTTTTACTTTACTAAGTGTAATTTTGCTTTGCTAGTAAAGGAATTTTACTTTGCTAAGTGTAACAAAAAATCAAATGAAATGGGTATTTATCTGTCAGGTGGCTATTAAATTACTGTCTGTTATCCTCTTAAAAAGAGGTAAATTGGGGTGTTTGTGATTACTATATCGGTAGCACTTCACCAACTGCCAGCATTCCAGAGCTGGCTGAATGAAATGAAATTATGGGGAAGAGGATACAGAGGAATCCTATTCTGAGGTGAGAAAATAATGTAATTTTACTTGGCCCATCTTAACTTTAGAGAAAAGTTTAGAAGGGATTTCTCATTTATCTATCACATTTGGGATACGTTGACAAACTGCTCACTGTTCTTTGCCAAGCATAACTGTCTCCACAGAAGCAGAAAGAAATATATCTACCCTTCTGGCTGCACAGAAGCAAACTTCTAATCTCCTTGGCTTTTCCTGATCAGTATTAGGAATTAGCATGTTAAGTCAGCCAAGAAAAATCAATACAGGAGCAAAAATGGGAATATATTTAGACATCCTGGGTAAAAAGCAGATGGTAGACAACAACCTTAGCACATAAAGCAAGTAGTTATGACTACAAAACAACACTGTCCAGTCCAAGGATAGACCTAAAAATCTGTCCCATGGTTGCCAAATCAATTCTTCCCATTGCACAACCACTATGTTTCAGCACTGTATGCAATTAGGATCAGTCACTTGTCCTGCTGCCCCTCTAACTGCAAAAATAATCTCTTGCTCACAGGATGGCTCAACCTGTTGAGATGTCTCTATTTTCTCTCTCTTTAAAACTGTCAAAATGTGCAACAGTACCTTTCATAGGCAAAACCAAGATATGAGTATCCAGTGTCCCTCCTCCTTTTTGGAAGGTCCATAAATTAGAAGAGGAGTTTCATCAGTGGCAATTAGGTGCAAAACTTCTTTTGGAAAGTGTAGCACCTGAACACAAACTGTGCTCTGGAACATATTCATCCCCCCACTATTAATTGAGGGGGCAGCAGCCATGAAATGATAGCTTAGAGACAGTCCGGTTTGCAGAAGATGCCACATGATGGTTCCATCTACAGAGAGGGTTAATGGAAACATTGTGTCTGTTCTGCAGTCTGGTTAGTGGCAGGCACCACAAATCCTCTAGTTTTGAAACATCTACTTATTTTGTGGTCCAATTTGAATTGATATGTTTTAAGATCTTAAACTACCATCCCTTAGTAGGAGAAGTACATCAGCTTGAAGACACTGACAAATTGAGAACAAAGACTGATTCCTTGTAAGTTCAAATTTTAGTGCTGTAAGTTGATTGAAATGCAGAGGGTGCAGCAATTATTTCTGTGTGCTTAGATTGGTTTAAATCTGAAAATTATTAAATAAGATTATTTGTTTCCAATGTCAGGATTTTTCTTTTTATTAGTATCCATTGTGAGGGGGTCTGGAAGAGGGATGGAGTCACCTCTCTTTTGTTAAGAAACAAAACTGTGCTGCCCCCACTCCAATCAAAGAGAACAGGCTATGGCAAAATCCCATTTCTTACAAAGCAGAAATCTTAGAACATCTCAATATGTCATGGCAAGAACAATGAACTTTTTTCAAATTTTATTTGTGTCATCTAGGTATGCAATATTAACATTCAAAAACCTGTCTTGTTCTTTGCACTCATAAGATTTCATTTCTCCTCAACCCCAAACCCTGATATGTGTATTTCCTGTTATTGGCCTCTGCTTCTGAGTTTAGCAAGAAGTGTTATAAAGTACAGGGTAGTGCTCAAGTCTTTCAATGCACGTCCCCCTAAAATATTTTGCCATGAAGATGCAGCTTCTATCAATGAAGAAGCCAGAGGAACTGGTAGGTCTTAGATGAAGTAAATCAAACCAGTAACAACTGAAAACCGGCAGGCAGCTACCTCTGAAGCCGATAAAAATCACTGCTTAATGAGTCTAACATCTTGGAAAAGCTGAAAAGGACACACTGGACCCTGACGTAACGAAACGAGGGCAATCTATTTCAGTCCCCACAGAAAAAGAAGAAACAAAAAATACCCAACAAAAATAAATCCACAAAAACCAAGTCAGAACTTATTATTGGAGAACAATAGTAAAAACATAACCAGACTTCATCTGGCACTGGTATCAAGCTGGAGATTCATCTAAAAAATAGAAGAAGAAGAATGTGGCCCGATATCCTTTGCTAACCTAGAATACTATTGAAGGGTTACAGAACTCAACCGTGAACAGATTGAGTGGGACTTTCCATATGCTGCTCACCAGAAAGAAGCAATGGGCGGAGCAGGAAGGAATGCAGCCTAATGATGAACAACAGCCTGCCTGTGCCTAACAAATCAGAGAAACTGTGCAATAACGTTTCACCTCTGTGAAAATATAACACCTAAATACTGCCAAGGTCAGCAAGACCTTTGGCGATCAACTGTGTAAGTGCTTCTTATGCTTGGTGATGTTTGTTGCCAGCTACTTTAGGCACATAATTTCTCAAAAGACTATCAAAGTGCTGAATATTTAGGCCAGTTCCCCCCGGTTTTCCTTTTGCCAACCCCTATAAGACATTTCCTATCACCTCTCCTTTCATCTTCCACCTCCCTGTTTAATTTGGTTAAGTATCTTATAAGTGCACCAAATTCTAGAAGGGAGAGTGGTGAGATTCAGGTAAGTTAAATACAAGAACTTTTTTTTTTTTTATGATAGCTTTAGTTTCAATTACATGAAAATCTGAGAAAGGCGGCATGTAAGTGAGATCAGAATAGGACCCTTTACATATAATCTCAAGTGAGGACTTAGTCCAGAGATATTTTTATAGAACATTTTAAAAAATAAAATGCATGAATGGAGAAATAAAAGACAACATAATATCAGAAAGACATTTTAAACTTCATTCGCTGCAACATTCATGAACCAGTTGAGCTACACCTGCCATCCAACCATAAGGAACTAAGACCCTGCACTGCGAAAAAGAAACAAACCCAAACAAAACAAAAAGCAACTGCGTAATATTGTAAAAATGGAGTGCAATGCTACTACAGAATGCAATAAAATATCAGTGCTGCATCGTCAAACAGCACTTATCAAAATAATTTCTGAAATGTTTCTTCTGAAACACAGACAAAGCAATAAAAAGAGGATATATGTTTATCATTTTAAGCATAACAATGTGAGTTAAGAGCTTAAGAATACAAAAGTACTTGGAATGAATAGTGCTACCCTTTTTTTCCTAAGTAGGCATAAAAATATTTTCATTTCCTTCTTGTTTTTTCATACCATTAATATCAACAAATTTCATTCATTTCATGTTATCGTTTACAACTTTAATGCACACACACAGAAAAAAAGATACCTACTGCAATAGAAATAGTTGCTTCATTACCTTGTTTGCTACATTTGCAAATGTAAACAGCGAGGCAGAGCCAGAACTGACTCTAATGCATGATGGAATATCTTTGTTGCATACGTACACTGTAGAAAATAATTATTCAATATGTCAGGCACCATTATTTGAAATGTAATACATTAATATTTACTAGAAAAATAAGGTTTTTTTCTATTTGTTCTCCCAACTTCTTTAATGAAATAAGTTAATCTGACAGTGCATCCAGTAGCTTGTAATATCTTCTACATCCCTGTGGCAAAATAATAAACTACTGGTTGGGACACTATAATGAAAATGATTAAAGTCAGTTCTTGTACACCCTTGTAGCAAGCATGGAGGCTCGTCTAACAGCACCTTTAACCAATTATTTAATATTTAGTTATTTAGCCCTATTTCCCTGAGCAGTTATGCTGAGGAGCTTTCCCTTCATGGATAGTTTTTAAAAAGCTTTAAGTATTAAAAAGTACTATGAAGACATTTAATGCTACTTAGCAAAAGCTGGTATAAGTCTACTGAAGGGATTGACTGGTATGTATAGCAATGTTAAGCGTGTGGAGAAGTAACCTTAGACTTTAAGGTTTAGAAATGTAATATATTAAAAATATATTAAAATAAAATACAGCAGGTTACCTTGTTCTATGCAAATTAAACCTGGAGTGTGGCTTCTGTATTAGACTTCACTTGCACAAAATGGTTATTCTAGACTAAAGTGTGCCAGAAAGAATGTAGTGATAAAATGGTAGCTAAAAATCAGCTGAGTCTGAGAAACACCTAGATGACATTGCTGCCAAAGCTCTGAGGACAAGGTGATCATAAGGCATGTTGTAGGGCAGAAATTCACCCAAATTAAAGAAAATGACCTTTTAACATCTGTATATTTAACATGTCTAGTTCTTATATACAATGTGCATATGTTCACTATACCCTTGCAGCAGTATATACATATACACATCTTTGCACTCTTGCCAGTTATGTCTCTTACACAACAGCAATTAATTGTCCAGTAAAATTTTCTCAAGATTATTCGCCACGATTCACTGCATTCTGGCTAGCTTTGGTGGGCCGTGTCCCATAGGATTATCTTCCTCCCCTCTGGCCACCATCCAACTGTTCTTTTTTCTTGGTAACCCACTCAATAAAAAGGAAAAAAAAAAAAAAAAAAAAAAAAAAAGGAAAAAATAAAGAAGAAAATGAAAAAAAAAGAAAATAACAAGGGATTTAATATTGGATAAGGCATGCTCTCTATATGAAGTGCTTTATAGGTCTTCACAAGACATTACAAGCTATTGAATTCCCATCAAGGAAACCTATTTCTGTTTAATTGTGCTAAGTGCTAAGGTTTACTCTTTAGGTTTTCCATTCTTTTCAGCTTGTGCATTGTTCCTGTGTAGGCCCCTCTGGATGTGAGTTGTGAAGTCATACTTGTCCGTGCAAAGATGCTGGCATATGCTGCACTGGAAAGGTCCACTGTCACCATGGCAACTCATATGCAAAGCATACATCACTTCATCCAGAAAGACAATGCCACAGTGCACACACTTGGTAGAAAGTTCATCTTGAGTACTTCTATCAACTTTCTCTGTTTTTACTACATTCAAGGGACCTTCATTTTTTACATTTGGTGGTGCCTTACTCTTTTCCTTGGAGGCACCATTTGCAGTTGGCCCAGGTCTGGAATGCTTTATCGCCAAATCTAGAGGAATGTCATTGTCTGATCCGACAGCTGAAAAATGAGGAGGCAGATTAAAGGTGGGATAAGGCACATAGTTTTGGCAAGGATTTGGTAGGCCAGGCACATGACTCAAGTAGTGTGGATTCCCAGGAACAGACAGCTTATATTTACTCCAGAATCTCAGCCAGTCAGCTTCACTCTGAAAGTCATTGTGTACAAATGGAAGTCCAAAAAGTGGGTACTGGTATTTTTCAATAGGGCTTCCAGGTGGTGAATAGTTTGGGTGTTTCGCAGGTCTCATGTATTTTTCTATCGGGCTGCCTCTCTCTGAGCTTCCTTTCCCTTCTGATATCGATGAACTGTTTCCTGGGTCTCCAGTACTTTCCTGAGGACTTTTTATCTGAATGTGCAAAGGTTGCATCCTTTTGTGAATATCCAGAGTTTGGCTGACCAATATTGGCTGCTGAGCAGAATGGCTTTTAGTCAATGAACCTGGGGCCTCATATTTACTGAGGCTGGGAAGCTGAATTTCTCTCTGATGACCTTCAGGTAAATGATCCTCTGACCTCCTCTCTAAGGGGCTTCCATTGACTTGCTCCTCACCGCTACCCCTTTGCTGTTTGTTTAGCTGCTCAGCCTGAAGTGCCTCCGGGTTAAGGCGCTTTCTTGTTCGTCTCCTAATGATCTGCTCACCATTGTTCTGTTTAATGATGTTTAAAGGCCTGGGAGTCTGCATGGAACACACACATAATGAACAAAAGGAAAAAAGAAAGACACATTAAACAAATCTGCAAGATTATGCTCATGCAAATTTATCTTTTCTTTTCTGTAGAGCTATATTACAAGAGACTTATGGGAATGACCAAATTTCAAGCCAAGTGCTGGTCCATGGCCCCTCACGCTAAATGTAAACTAGGAAATGGCTTGTTTTATCAACTTAAGTCAACTGTCATAGACATACTATACCTGTTTACTTAAAAAAGGCAAGAGGTATCCAAGCTGTCAAACTATTTATTACTTCTTATTCCTAAAAAATTCTGGGGGAGATGTGTTGAAAGTGGGTGCTGAGAGCTGGGGATGAGGTGGGAGATGCAAGGCCCTGCGCACTGGCGTTTATTCAGTGCAGCATGCCACCAAAGCTGGTATCGGGCAGGGGTTTGTACAGATAAGAACTGAGCAACACTTACCTTGATACTCACTCTGCTTCGACATGGGTAAAAAACACAAGCAAACACAGGGCTTGCTGACCACCATTGCTGTCACCTAGCAAAAGGGCTGCAAGTCCACTGTGGTGGTGAGTGGGATGATGGTGGCGGGAAAGGGACTAAGAAAGATGGAGAAGAAAGCCCAGAAAAAACTTCTCCTATGCACCAAAAGGTCTACCTGTACTTCAGCACCAACTCCCTACTGTATTTCTTTCTAAGTGTTACTGATGTTGTGCTACTAAGTCATGAGGGAGAGCAGGCATTCCCTGAAGGCAGGGAAAAAGGGATCTGTAAAGAAATAAGCATCTCAAAAGAGGCAGAAGCAAGAACCAAGTGAGGACTTCTGTTTCCTTTTGCTACTACCCCACACCAGCTCATGTTAGGTGCCTTCTTTAAAGAAGAACTGAAAATACCTTTGTGTGAAGAACAAAAATATCTTTTCATGAAGAACAAAAAAAACAGTACAAGGAAGGACTAGGACTAGGACTTTAACAGGAAAGCAATGGTTCCTGAGTGAAAAATGGTGCTGTACCGCCAGTATGTGTTGTTCCACTGGGCAGATGTTAGAGCAACAGAAACTACCTAAAAGACATTCAGTTTGGTGTGCTGGCAGTTGACATTTGTCTTATCCAAATGCACATATAATCCTACTTTGGTTGGTGGTCAGAAAAGTGCCCCTTACTGTATTCTACTTGTATGTTTATTTAGAAATTTTAAAATTGTTTTAAAAAGCAGATTTAATTTTGGCTTACAGTCAATATCCAAAGTAATTTTTGCCTTGAATGTAACTAAATTTTTATATATTCATAACTTCAAACTAGTATAAAAACATCCAGAGCTGGAAGAGCACACATTCTATTATTTGTAGAGACCAAGTTTCTTTCTTGACTTGCCATCTTCCTCTCCTCTTTCACCTATTTATTTCCCTGCAGTTGGCTTATTCTTAATGGTTAACTACGTTTTAGACAGTGCAGCTATTTTTTAAGATTTTACTTTCTATTAAAACACTGAATCAGAAGTAATAGACACTTTTATTTAGATTTTTAATAAGAGAAATTTAAATTTGACAGAAAAACAGCACCTCAACCAGCCTGCTCACATAGATCAAAGCTGAGACAAAATGATGTTAGAAAAAAATTGGAATATTTTCCATGTAAATTCTATTCAGATAAAGTTTATAGTTTGCAGAATCAATAGCCAATTATTATGCATATACATACACTCTTATTTACAACTTCAGTGTAATTTCCTCACTTTTTTATGACAATTGTAACACAGTCATACTGAGATGCTGTGTGAGATGTTACATATTGTTGTTACTCTTATTAAGCTTTAATTTTTACACTACAAACCACTTTCATATGGCCTCCATATAACCCTTCAGTATTTTGGAAATACTTTTAGTCTTACTCTTCACACTACAGGTATGAAGTCTGATTATCAAAGTAGTTAAAAGAAACATCTTCCTACCTTTGACTAGGGACCCTCACACAATTATTTGCAGCTCTGGCTCTTCAAAGTTACATGCCATGAGGAGTTAAAGGCTGTAGGTTCAACTTTCAAATTCTTCAGCATGCAAATGACTGTACTGATCTGATTCAACTAGTCTTTAGATGATTAAAATGCACTATTATGTGGTGAAAGTTATTAATTTTCCTTATTCATAGTAGCAAGGTGCAGATAGAAATATTCTGTATTTGGTTGCAACCAAAGCAGATAGAAGAGTTTAAGCTCACTTCTTGCTTTTCAGTGGGGTATTACATTTAGAATACAGTGGAAACATTGCCAGAACTTTACTTTTAAAATGGCCTATGTCAGATCCTTAATTATATGTTGTACATAATAAATTAAGGATGATCACAAGTATTTTTGCCATCTCCGTATCAACTAGCAATCTCCCTACTTCAAATACATGAGTAAATTTAAAAAAAAAATCAAAAAATTCAACAAACAGTTTATTAAATTATTGTGACTAGACTTCCTAGATACCATGGGAAATTGGAGTGACCTCTCCGTTAGACAATGAAGCAGTCCAAGGATGTGGCCAAGGAATCACTATGGAACAAAATCTAGTGTTCCATGACCAAGTTAGAACTATTATAAAAATGAGGAACAGCATCACAATGATAACGGCCAAATTCATGATTCTGGGGAGAAACCAAATATGAATATAGTGTATATATTTACAGTGAGCTGCTTTTTTTCACTAAAACTATTTTAATAATACAATGTTGGATTATTATTACACATTTCTTAACATAGTTGTTTGGATTAAAGGAGAGAAATGTGAAAAATGTGAGAAGTTTAATGTAAATTACCCCTAGATAGATGGACCATTTTTGAAAACATATTGAACAATTATTCAAGGGTATCACAGAAATAGAAATGTGACTTATAGCAGAAATCACTACCATGTTAACATTCGTCAGTTACTACCATCTAGTAGTATGACATCCGACAAACCATAAATTTTTCTTCTTATTAAATACAAGTGAAAAAGGGACCTTAGGCTTGAGTTAATGAGGATGGTAGTTCTAGACTGTAATAATCCAATCAAAAGGGAGCTAAGAAATGTGCAAAGTTACTATAGGTGATTTTTACTCAGCAATGTAGCAAAATTTAGTTGAACAGTGTCTTTTAGAAGGGAATTGTATTCCCTTGAATTTTTATAGTTTTGGACATTTACCTAATAACTGCATCATCCTAGACCCCTTAATTCAGAAACATATATGACAAATACTTCTGACAAATTTTTCATGAACAGACAGGTAGACAGATAAAAGAAACTTTCATCTTTCTGGTGTCAGCCTAAGGAGTGTCCCTTTGCATGGACTGTCTCAAAAGCTGTCCCAAAGGAGAGATTTGTTTGACTGTTTCAGACTCCTACTTAAAATGGAGTTGCTATCATATCACAACAGAATAAGGCTTAATTAAATTCTTTGCGATTGTTCGGTCAAAGTTCAATTGAAGATATTAATGTCAAATGTCCACTGAATGACAGCTTATTGCTGTGCTTAAACAGTAGAGTTCAAAGATAGTGTCAGCTTCTTGCTTTCGATATGCATAAAACAAATTTGGACACTGTATTCCTAATTATGATGGAAGCATACTGTTTTGTCCTTACTGGTTCATAAGAATGATCTGAGCTATGTGTTTGAATATAAAACTGATTCTTGTAGCTTTTATCTATTCAATAAATTATACTAATAATCATGGTAAGGTCCAACAGTATAGTTCAGAAAAGTATATTAAAAAAAAGGGAAAACGGAGGCTGTAAATGGAAGTTCTACAAATAACAGACTCAAATGTCAAATTAAAAAAAAATAATTAAAAAGTAAAACTGTACATCTTAAAATCTTTGTGGATGCTCACCACTGATCAATTTCCCTAAATTAGATATTATATCTAGAACTTTGAGAGGTCTCCAGGAAGATGATACTTGCAGGAAGACACAGCCAAGATCCTGCCAGAGACTGTACATTAGTTCATCTCCTCCTGCTCAGATGTGTTTTGACTGACTGGGCTGTCCCGGAGTTTAAAAGCAGTTACTGACCTTAGAATGACAGCACATGGCGAACAGTTAACCTTTTAGATTGTCGTGCTACATTTGAAAATTGGAATATTTTTCTGTTTTATTAAGTAGGCTCGTTCGACAGGCTCTTGAGTAAACAGGATTATTTTATGGGCTGTACACAAGACCATTTAGAAGCTTATGTCGCAAATTTAATTTCTGAAAAAAGTTTTTAAAAATGTGCACTCTCAGCCACCACATAGATTTCTGATTTAGGCTCTAAGCCTGAACTGCTGTGTTGCCTTGGCAAACTCCCAAAGGCTGCCTCGGTTTCTATTTCTGAAAAATAGTAACACTTTTTAATTTCATGGGAATGTTGTAAAAATTAATTAATTAGAGTCAAGTCTTGGTCACCTGACTCTCCCATGTGCTTCTATTAAAGACAGTGGGGATAATATTTAACTAGTAGGTCTTAACCTAAAAGATTCCAAGCATTTTGGCGCTGATCCAAGGAAACACTTAAGGATGGCTTTCCTGGACCTGGACCAGAGCATTCAACATCTTTCAGGATCAAGTCAAGTGTCAATAAGATGAAAAGCAATACGGACAGATCATGATTATTACTTATTCCCTGCCTGATCTTGAGGGATGGTGAATCTTTCCCTCACCAAGTGATGAGTGCCATAAAGTGAATAGCTTCCTTGCTGAGCTATTTCAGTATGCTCCAGCAGACTATAAGAACTGTAGAAAAAAGAGCACAAAAACCCTTCCCACCCCATATCTCCAGGAAACTTACTCTCAAGAATAAAGGGGGTAAGATATGTGAAAGAACATAAAAACCATATCAAGAGACATTTTTGATGTAGATGTAGATGTCTAACTTTAAGAACTTTGGTTTTTATTACAAACATGACAACTCTTGAATTTAGAGAGCTTTCATCACAACATATTATATGACTTTAAATGGAATTCCCAGAAAAGAAATAATTTTCTCCTTATTTTGTATCAAAATAATTAAATGCATCACTGGTGATCTCAAACACATCTACCCACAGCATCCCAGCCTGTTTCATAATGAATCACATCTGATCCCAAAGTGACCATTCTGCAAAACCCTGTTAGGAAATTAACTGCAGGCCAGGGAGTGGTACTAATCACACAACCAGACAAGACCACAGCTGCCCAGCTTAGCTGTATAACCCTTTTTTCTGCTGAACAAACCGGTAAGTTCTTCCTACCGAGTGAAGCTTCTGGTAGAGGCCACACGCGTTGCATACATATCCACCATTTGCATTCTTTCTCCAGAGAGAGGTCTTTGTGGTCAGGCAATTGGCACAAAAAACACCCGAGCCTCTACGTCTCTGAAATAGGGAAGAAAAAGGGAAAAAAACCAGGTCAGAGGTGAGTCACATGAGCTGCGAAGTTAGGACAAATCAACACAGGAGTTTTGTCTCTAGACTGGCAACAATGACGGTATAAAACCACACTGCCCATAATGAGGTCAGGTTCAATTGTGCTTAATAGGCACCACTGATTTTCATTATAATTAACCCTAGAGTGATGGATGAGGTGTGTGAAACACCAAAGCCTTTTCAGAATAACAGCTTTAACTTTTTGAACTTCAGGTTTTGTGCATTTAATGATGGTTTCTAAACAGCAAATTCTGAAAAAACCCTTTGGAAGCTGACAGAACATTCCGTAAACTCCCGGTTTCACAACAGATTATTTCTTTTTAGCTTGCTTGATTTAAAAGCCTGATTGGTAACAAGAATTCTGAAACATCACTACTTCAATTAATTACAGTCTGTACCTGCATCATACTAATTCCTTTAACAGAGATTATACATTATTAATTTAATACATGATATTCAGTTCCAGTCTTTCCCACTTACTTCTGAAATCAGTATAAGATACCACATACTTCTATTAGCCCACTATGAGCAAATAAAAGTACAGTATTCTTTAATGAGACCTCTTCTGAGCTTCATTCGAAACCCCAGAAAACACTGTCTCGTCGACGGATAGATTTATTTATTTTATTTTAGTCAGGCAAAGAAGGGTACACTACAACTTTCGTAAATACAAATTGATTTTTAACCAGACTGAGCTGTGCATTCATCAGCTTTCATAATGATCCAGGAATATTTAGAAGTAGACACGTTTATGAGTATTGCTCGTTAAATTTTTTCTATGGAATAATGATTTCATTAAACCTCTCATTTAAACAAAAGTCAGGCTGTGTTTGCGGGCACAAATATTAATAAGCAGGAAATTGAATTCTTTTGCTGAAAAGAAAATCTGAATTTCAACTCTGTTCCCTTTTAGCAAAGGAAGAAAATCCATACGAAACCTTCAGCATCTAAGATAAGAATGAGTAAGTACCGGAAAAAACAGTCTGGGTGAAAAATAATTTTATTATAAATTAAAAATTACTAACACTATAAGTAAAAATTTCAGAGTTTCGTAAAATTTAAGTAATTTATTTAACTTTAGTTTATATTGTAGAAGACTGGTGCTCATGCCAAAAAAATACAATGGTTATAATTGTACTCTGATACATTTCAAATGGAAAGCTTTCTGCAGACATAATTTTGGCTTCAAGACTGGAACACTTTCTTGGCATTGAAAGGGCATTTGATTCATCGGGTGTTTCACAATGTATCACTAAAAAGACCTGGTGAGCAGCCAGTTCCCTATAGGGTAATTTTTCCATCCAGATGCAAGTGCTATCAGAGGCCCTCGTCAGCTAAACTAATTATGATCTTGCATTTGCTGATGCCTGCTCACTCTAACATTCGACATCCTCCATTAATCATCAATACAAGGAAAATGAATGAAACGTAAAGAAACGAGGGCTGGTAAGCTGCACAGCCATAAAATCTGAAATGAGTGCAATAATTTAACAAGATTGGGGAAATGTTTTTAGTGAGCACAAAGTCAGGCTAACAATTGCCCTTTTAAACTAAGAACACAATTTCATTTGTACAGCAGGTTGCGCTACTTTAAAGTGATACAATAAAATCAAGATTGTCATCAAGATAATCTCTCTCTCACCCCCTTACATCATCCCCTACTTTGTCTCTTAAATCAGAAGCAGTAATATATGACATTTTTCTCAATTTAGCAAAGGGAAGAACTAAATGGTGGTTGATGTCCTTCAGCAAATATCTAACTAGTTGTGCATATGAGATGCAACTCGCCGTGGAAAGGTGCACTCGTCTACAAGTACATTGAAGGTCTCAATTCTTTTTGTGGCTGGATTTCCTTGCCTAGCTTCACCTGGCTGCTGAAATATTTTCCATAAGAGTACAATAAAAGCCTCACTAGACTAATCCCAATTTGGTCCACTTGGAGGGTGAGAAGTTTCCAAGCGGAAATGACTGTACATGGCCAGGATTCAGCTATAACTGCAGAACTGTTCCTTTCCATTCCTACTTCTTGTCTGCTGGCCTATAGTTTCTTGGTGTGGTGTATTAACCAAGTGGAGTCTTAATCTGAGTCAGTCTTTCCACCCTTTTATTTCTGTTTGTGTTCCTTGAATTTGGGAAATACCCTCTACAAAGTAATGAAAGACTATTAAAACATAGAGAGAGTGGTCTAGTTTATATGCTGCATTTCTATACATCTGAATAGGGACAGAAGGCATAATTACACTGAAATCTTCATTGAATGCTATGGTGCTAGCATGTCTTTAAAACATTGTCAAAAGCAACTCATTTTTTCTCTTTTTTTTAAAGAAAGATCTGATTCAAAATGGACATTAGTTGCAATGGAATATTACAATGACTATAGCTGACAGCAATTTACAAAATACATAGTAATAGCTATATGTATCAAAATAGGTCTGCTTATTTACTACTTACAAACTATTTATCTGTTTAAAATGTCGAAGTAGTCCAGCAAAATATCCTTCCCTAAATTTAATGCAAAGTATGTAAATTTGACTTTTGTGCTGTTCTAAGTGCTGCATCTGATCTTTTTTGTTACCTTCTCTTATTTCCATATTATTTAAGGACCTTACAGGACAATCAACATTGATTATTTCAATACCAAAGTGTTTCAACATAGCTTACATATACTATACTAATAAATGAAGAATCAAACCATCTCTGGAAAAATTTAAACGCTGTTACTTTGTTGAGCATTATAGATATTTATAGTGGGGACATACAGCTTTAGAATGTATTTCCTGCCACGAAACAGGACTGTGGAAGAATTGGACTCAATATTCTTGACTCCCAGAAGCCACTAACCACAGAATGGACCCGCTTGTCATAAATATACCTCAGAAATTTTGATGATGTCTGCAAGAAAAAATGGAGGGCTTTTTTAAAAGCCTACAATGCCTGTAATCCTCTTATCTTAAACAAATTTTTGTTGCTAAATGTTAACCAACAGTTATACTTCTACTGTTAGTGATGATACTTCTGCATGAGTCTGTTTGGCTTTGCATACTCAGCTTTTGTACTAGTCAATAATACTGGCCAATATTGCTGCTTTTCTGAGTAGTCTCACAAAGAAACAGGCACTTGAGCTCAAATCCAGCAAAGCCTGCGCAACAGCTATGGCCCACAGCCCCCATAAAATGCAGCCATGCACTCAAGTGCTCTGCTAAGCACTACCCTAGCCAGCATTTTCAAGAAATATGTTAGGAAAGCTTTTGCTCTTTTTCTAATGTGAGCTTACTTACCACAGTTAATTTCTTAAATCAGCCCAGTAACATTAAGTCAACACGACCAGTCATGGGAGGGTTTGAGCCACAGAAAAAATGTTCCGTCTGTGATCAATGCCCTAGCACTAGCTGGAGTTATCACTGCAAATTTCCTGTACATCCTTGGTAGAATAAGCCAAAAGGGTTTAAATAACTAAAATATGTACCTACTAAGTCAAGCTCTAATCATCTGGTGCCTTATAGCCACTACAGTACAATCCCAGATCCTGAAGGGGCCGGCACTGCAAAGAGCCTGTCTCTTTTCCATTCCAGTTCCGAAGTCTGGGCATTTAATATCACAGTTGTCTCAAATCACATTAGGCTGAAACTTGGCGCACGTTTTTTGTCAGCCCAGATGTACCTTTTTTTTTTCTTTTTACTTTTTTGGTACTGAAAACTTTATTTAAATCAGTTCAGCTGTTTATAATTTGGAGATTGGCCAAAATTGGGGGGCGGGGGCAGTTTTTCAGATAACTTTCTAACAAATCTACAGTCAGAATGGCTTTGCTCTGGGGAAAAAAAAGTATGCACACATTTTACTATTTTAGTAGTAGCAAAGCAACAAGTGGATTATTATTTTTATGTAGCTAAGTTATGAAAGTTTGCAATTATTCACTGAATATGTCCTGCAGAACTCTCTACTAACTGTTTTCCCTCAGTAAGAACCATGCTGAGAGCATGTAATTGCATAACAACCCTTGATATGCAGAATATTTACTCACATTTTTTATGGTTTCATATCTTGACCGTTTCAAATTGAACAAGTCTGAAACTTGGTATACACAGCTTCAAGCCCAAATGCCCAATTTTTTTTTTAACTCCTTAAATGATTTTCACTAGTTATCAATACTTAATTGAAACAAGGCAATTATTAGGAGTGCTTTCTGCTAAGCAATAAACCAGCAGAGAACATCATAACAAGTAATTCACTCAGGCGTCTTGCCAGGATCAGGCCCTTCTTTTTCATAAAAACTGCTTTAGATCTTAAAAGATTGACTCTACAGCTCACATTATTTCAAACTTTGTAGCCGTGTAGAAGCATCATTACACTCCATATTATACAAAAAGTATTTTAAAATGTACTGAATTTTCAGTTTTTATTTCAATAGAACTTCATGTAGCAAAATATATACTATAAAGCACAGCCAAAAACACTGCTCAGGAACTGTGACTTTTTAGCTAGCTAGACTAAGCAACAGTGCCTGACACTCTGCTAGTGCCAAATTCATCCTGTTTTCAAAATTTCTGCCAGAAGATGCTTTTAGAAACTCAAATAGGCTGCACAAGCAGCAGCCAAGCATTTTTCTTGCATCACCCTTCTGGTTTTGGACACAACAAAACTTATCTTATTGCTGACTACTTTCACTTTCCCATCACAAAACGACAATATGATGAAGCCTGAGTAGATTTTTTTACCATCTCTGGCCTCCCTACCATGCTAGAATGAGAGCACACTGTAATCATGGCTCCATAACACAAGGTGCAGAGAAATCATAAATGTTTCCCAAGAATAAGCATATGCCTGACATATTTCTAACAATGAAGACGGGCAATACAACCATATATGTCTCACTGAAAAAAAAAGGCAAAACGCTGTCTCTGGATGCTCCCTGGCAACATGGGAGGTCTAAAATGGGAACTCCGGGAAAC